AAATTCTACAATCCAACTTTTACACTCCTTTGCTGTTCTTTGTCTATCCTTGATTGTACTTGAATACTCTCTATCTCTAACACCTCAGGCTCTAACCTCACTGAAACTCCTCGTGCCGCATCATTCGACATATCTGAACATCGCACATCTCAACATCCTCCGAGATCATACCTTCTTTCTTTTCAGAACCCTGGTGTATGGCCATTCTCTAATTCTGCGATGCCCGCCGTGGTCCAAACCATGCCCTCTCATCCCGGCCCCATGGACTCGACCATACCCCCCTCTTCCACTCCTACCGACAAGAAGCGCAACAAGCTGGGCTACCATCGCACGTCTGTCGCATGCGGTAAGTTATCTCATTCGAGTCGCACTGTATTCTGCTAATAAAATAGTGCACTGTCGCCGTCGCAAGATCCGCTGTCTAGTTGCCGCCGATGATGCCCAAGGTCGCTGCGAAAACTGTATCCGTTTGCGCAAAGAATGCCAGTTCTTCCCAGTCGATCAGCAGCCTCCGGTAGAAAAGAAAACCCGTCCTAATTCGCGGCTCGACTCCTCTGCTTCCACCGACCCCTCCACGGCCTCTTCCTCGCCTCCGATTGTCAGCGGTCCTCTCGATCAGCAGCAACCACAGCAACAGCAACCAGAAACATTCTTTTACCAACCGATGCCGTTGAATGCTGCTCCAAATGTCCATGGAATCCCACCAAATGCGCCTTTCCCCGGGAACATGCCGCAGTTTGCGCCAGGTAGGCTTTGTCGGGTCATCTGCATAGATTGAACAACACTAAGTAGAACCCAACACAGGCGAATTCACATCCGCTTCTCTCGAATCCCCCGTCCCCTGGGATGAATTCACCACGGTCCCCAATGATCCCCAAATGCTAGCGACGCTCAACGCCGCAAAACCACAATCCGCCATGATCGATCTCAGCCCTACCAGCGTCTGGAGTGGCGACATGAGCTCGATCCCCTCCAACGCCTCGCTTCAGACTACCCCCACCGTCCCCTCGCAGCAACCCGCTCAGGCCCTTGACATCGCAAACACCCCCGCGCAAACATTCACCATGCCAGACGGCACGGTCTGGCAAGTCCCTCCACAACCGACACGGTCCATGACATTCCCCGCACAGCCCGACATGGCAGCATCATATCCACCACCTCCTGTTCCTCCAACTTCAACACCGAATCAGTTTGCACCACCAATGGACCCCGATCCAAAACACAGTGCATCCCCTGCAGCAGATCCAATGCAGACCATGACCATGTCCATGTCATATCCCGGCACACAGGTCTCCAACCCCATAGGTTACCCAGTATGGCCAGACGCAAGTGGAATGGCCGGAATGAATGTCGTCCCCTACCCGGTCTTCACCCCAGAGGCACCGCAGCAGGGGACACCATTCGGGAGTCCACCAATGGGACATGGACATCCAGGACACTCGCCTCAGGGGTAATAGAATTGATTGAATCGCATTGATTACGCACATGCATCACTGCATCAGCACTTTCCTATGGTTTTAATTACTTGCACTGCATCATTAGCCCTTTTTCTTTCCTTTGTTTTATTGCATCGTCCATGGCTGGTTATCGTGGGCGTCTGGGTGGTCTTTTTTTTTTTTTTTTTTTTACAAATCTTCCTTTCCTTTTCCCTGCATGGACGGGTCCATTTGCATACATACTGGGCTAGATCTTGCTCTCTTTGATTACTACTTCCGGGTTCAACTCGATTATGAGCTACGTGATATCGAGAGCGTGAGTGGTTCGAACGGCGCTCCAATATAATATTATTCTTGTCAATTTGTTGCATCAAAAGTCCGATTAACGATGTGTACTGTATATAGTCGGCCATTCAACATACATACCGAAACGAGGATTCATGTGACTGTCTACTCTGTACGTCTGACTGATAACGAGATCTGAGATCCGGGGAGATCACCCCAGACTAGTAAGCACGTCATCGGATTGATCAAATGGGGTATTGTGGCCGTTCTTGGTGTAGAGAAAGAGTTCTGGAAAGAAACGATTGATGTCATTGGCTTTTGGTCTTTTCTGGAATTGGGTGGGAAAGTCTTTTCGCGCTGGTTTATCTTTATCCGTCTTTCACCAGACAGCACAGTTTCAAGACTCGTATACTACCTAACGTTGATACCCCCTAGGTTCAGGCCATGCTAGTGCTCTGCCAATGCGCTTGAACAACCACTTCCTCATGATTCTCTAGCCTTCATAATGTTCGCTACATGCAACTGCTCTGGATCCGTACGTCGCAGACGACAGAACAGCAGAAGCAATTCACTGCTGCAACAGGTGCCAGATGATCTCTCATCCACTGACGACGACATCCCACAATTCAGCTTTCGCCAAGCAAGATCCTCACTGACAAGAGTTTTGGTCCGGATGGGTTCGCCACATACCTTGGGAGTGCCCATCCCTAATAGTAATGCTAGCATGCCTTCGTTTATCTTGCAATCCACTCTACAAAACTTCTATGCAAATTAAAGCATTGCACTCTGTACGATGTGGGATACACTGCCTCAGGTACCAATGGGTTTCACTCCCGGGGTTATTTCCCGATGCCCAGACCTCGGCCGTGCGTTTTTTCATCGTACCCCAGTGTCTTGCAGCACCTCTACTCTGTACCAGGACAATGCTGTGTCGTTCTCGACGCAACTCCATGGTAAATTGGGTGGTCTGGGTGTCTTTTCGTTGGGATAAGAGGTACTTTTTTCTAAACATCGAGTACCAGGGACTGGCATCGTGGATCTTACCTCCCGGCTGATGGATCACCATCAATCCTCCCGTGTCCAGAAACAATGACAAAAGCATTCCCGGCTAGATGAATAAGAACAGACCTCAGCCACCACCCCCACAATGACCCCTGCGGAATACAGTCATCACAGTCTCCAAGCGGAGGGGCGACACCCGCCACGCTATCAGCAACGCGCATTCATTGGGTAAAGAGAGACCGGACTGCCACACGGGTCAGAAGTCACTAAAGCTCTCGGGATGATCCCTGACAGAGATGGTCTCGACTTATCCATCGCAGGAAGCTTCAACGAGTGTGCTTTCAGTGACAGCGGCAGGATGATGCAGAAGAGTTTATCGTTTCCTTTGGCGGTATGCATCGGCTCAGGAACCGGGTTGTCAGTGCGTCGAGGACTCCGTATGTGGTGGTCCTGGTTGATCTCCATGCGTCACCAATGCCCCCACGGTCCACGGTCTGATAACTATAAAGGCCGTCTCTCTGGAAGGTTCAGTCTGTCCGCTCAATCAACTTTTCCCTCAAACTCGTGCTGTTCATACCTTCAATATGAAGCTCACTGCCTTTGCCCTAACTGCTTTCTTGGGTTGTGCTGTCGCGCTCCCTCAGCTTGGTCAGCTCGGCAACCCTGGACGGGGGCCTCCTGCTTCCTCTGACTTGCCCACTCCGGTGTTCTCCTCTGGCAACCCCCAGCGTCCCACTGGTGTTTTCGACAGGCGCCAGCTCGGCCAGCCCGGCAACCCTGGACGGGGACCTCCTGCTTCTTCCGACTTGCCTACTCCCGTCTTTTCCTCTGGCAACCCCCAGCGTCCCACTGGTGTTTTCGACAAGCGCCAGCTTGGCCAGCCCGGCAGCCCTGGCAGAGGACCCCCTTCTCCCGGCGAGGTCCCTGGAAGAGGCCCTCCCGCTCCGTGCGAGATCCCCGGCAGAGGACCTTCCGTCGATGGCAAGGACGGCGCTTGCACTCCGTTGAGCTCTACCCCGTCGTCTTCGGTTGCTGCCAGCAGCTCTGGCTTTTCTAGCGCGCCGACAGTGTCTGCCACCCCGACGCCCAGCTCGACTCCGGCCAGCAGCGCGTCGCTTTTCTAAGCCAACGACAACACTGCACCGTTCATGGAGCGAACAAACAATGATATAGTGACGGATCTGGCATTCGATACGATGCACGATGGCTGTACATAGATCTTGCAGGTAGACAATCTGAGCTTATATCTGACGCGAACAGACACGAACCCACGAGGGTGATAACATCAACCAATGGGCTGATTGATGTACCCCGGACTTTTGAGTATCCAGGGTTATGCTATCAGGATGCACACAGGCACGTGTGCCAAGGTAGTTTGTCATGTGATGTTTCAAAGTACGAGCATGGACTCGTGTGCCTCTACTCCCTACCCCAGGGGTACGGATACGACGGAATACGGAGGGCTCCGTCTCCGTTCATTGCCACTATAGGCAGTAAGCATTACCTGCCGTTGCCATAAGGCTCATGCGAACAATTCCTAGTAGGAGCTCCGTACAGAATGCTCCGTACATACAGCAGTTTCACATAACAAAGTACATACTACTGTATAGTAGTGTAAAAGCAAGTATATGCATGACAAGGACTATTAGTGATGGCAGCTTATCAGCTTATCTTCCTTATCTCATTTTCGCGATCCACCATTCAAGTCATCGAGTCAGACCCCGCATCAGGTTCTGGTCCGGATGCTTGGGCCGTCGGGTAGAATAGGACTACTCCCGGAGGAATAGTCCTATTCTACCAGTTTAGTACAGAGCAGTATACTGACACAACCTAAACGGATTGTTCCGCTACTCGGGGCATCGAGGTCGGCCCGATCTCTCGGGGAGGACTCTCCGTGCTAGTACTAGTATATCCAAGTCTCGCATGTATGTACTTTTGTTATTCGGCCGTGTAAAGAGTACTGTAAGGAAATCCGTAGGGAACGCCGTATGCGCAGAGTTTACATGGGATATCACGAACTGTAGCTGAATAAACTCGCCAATTGCATAGCAGAACAGGAAAAAGAAAGGGCAAAGAAAAGCAAAGAAGCAAAGAAACAACAATAGAAAGAAACAGAACTAACCAATGCAGGCCACAACCCCAGGTCCACTGCATGCAAGTTAGACAAGCTTGTTAATATCATTATTAGCACCATTTTTAACAGGAATAATCTGATTAGTAGTGCTTATAGTAGTAGTTTATTCTCTTACGGCGGAAGTGTAAAAATTCGTCTCTCTTGGTACAGTATTTCTTTTCTCTCTGCTCCTCTGCTCTGCTTCTCAAGTCATATTCTCTTTCTTTTTCTTTTTCTGCCTCTCTGACCGCATTCCGCCTGTCACCGTTCGCGGATTACAGCCTTCTCCATCACCTCCACTACCACTACCTCTACCGCTACAACAACAACAACTACTACTACTACTTCTACTACTACTATAACAACTCCTCTACAACCACAGTCACTGCTATCATCTATCAGGATATGTGCGTCTGGAGGGTCTAGGCCCCCAGGCAATCACAGACACTGAATCCACGCTCATCCTGCCTCCAAGCAGACAGACAGACAGCCAGCCAGCCAGCCAGACAGAGACAGAGTAAGCCACTCAATCCTGCATGTTCTTTTCTTCCTTTTGCCTTCTCTGCTCAATCTGACTCTCTCTCGTCCACTCAGAATTGTTTCTGCTCCTCCTCTTCCCCCCTCCTCTCTCCTCCCCGGTCGACGATCCATACGAGACAGAGCACGTACATACCACACACCACATACAGATATCCTGCACACACCAAGTCCAAGCGTTAAAGGCCTTGTTCTTAATTTATTTTCATTATTATAGGTGCATCTGCATCATTGGCCTTGAACTGCTTCGTCTACGGCGGGTACACGGGAATTGACCGTCTCCTCTTGCCTGCAGCTGCTTATCAACCGCCCAACACTCTCGCTTTTCCGTCTTCTCTCCTCTCTCTCTCCTCATTTCCCCTCTCGTTTCTCTTTCCCCCGTCTTATCTTCTCTTTCTTATCTTCTATCTTCTTCCTCCAATCTCCTCTCTCGGCCTTTTCTTCCAATCAGCTTATATTAAAAAAGCCATGTCTGGCTTGGACCATGGCGGAGGACATGGGGATGTGCGACCGAATCAATTCGCCGGCTTGGCTGGCCTAGATACCTCCGACGCTGACCGTTTCTCGACTTCCTCAACCAACTTTCACGATGATTTCCCTTATGGCCTTCCTCCCTTCAGTCCCCGGGAGTCTTCCCACCATGGGAATTTACTCAAAGACTCCCTCTTTCCTGAATGGGGAAGTGGCACCACACGACCTGATCCGGAGGGCCCCGACGAGATGCAGAAGAAGGACCCGCTAGCCACTCAGATTTGGAGGTTGTATTCGAGAACAAAGGCCCAGCTGCCCAACCAGGAGCGCATGGAGAATCTCACTTGGCGGATGATGACTATGAATCTCAAACGCAAGGAGCGTGAACAACGCCAATCGTATGTTCTCCCACTGGAACCGACTCTGTACAACGTCTAACTAATCCAGTACCGACAGTGGTATCGCCCAACTGCGCCATTCCAACCGAACCTCCACCGCTCCCAGCACTTCGGCCACGACCACCACCACCGCCCCCACCGAGGACACCTCCGATCCCATGAATCTCGATGATTTCATTGTCCCCTTCGAGTCCCCTGCGGAACCCTCGTTATCACCCCCCGCGGGTGACAAGTCCCACGCCTCTGCCATCCCTATCAAACATCGCAGCCATCCCGACCCCGAGGAGCCCGTCCCCGCCTCATTTCCCCATCCGCCCCAGGAACAGCGCAGGAATAACGAATTTGGCTATGTCCAACGTCGGGTGCGGAAGACTAGCATCGACGATCGTCAGTTCTTGGCCAGTTTCCAGGTTCCCACTCGCAAGCGACCGGCAGAATCGTCGCCGTTGGTACCGCCCATTTCAAACAGTATGCTGGCCCACGATCCCGATCTGTCGTCTGGTGTTCCCGATTATTCCTTGGATGCGTCGTCGTCGGCATTTGGCCTTCACCACTCCAACAATGCTAACCGTCACCATAACAACAACAACAACAATAACCACAACCACAGCAACAGCAGCAACCCTCATACTTCTCTCCCGTTTGGCCTGGATACCTTTGGCTTGGATGATCCCATCTTGAACTCCGCCGGTCCATACCAGCCTCATTTCACCTTCTCCCCCCACGACTCACCGATGACATCGGGTAACCCGTTTGCCAACCTCTACGCTCACACGCCCTTGGCCTCCTCGCTCAACTCCACCGAACTCTTCTCTCCACCTCCATCCGGGTATCAGTCGACTGTCTCCACTCCACAGGCGTTGTACGAAAATGAGCAGTCGATGTATTTCGATTTGCCCACGGCCGATTCCCGCACGCAACGTCGTGTTCCCAATTACCTCGCCCAGCGATCGTCAAATCTGTCTGCCTCGCTACATCCCCGGTATATGTACAATGGGAATAACCGCGATTCCCGCCAGCAGCAGCAGCAGCAGCAGCAGCAGCATAGCATGGGACAGGTTGGTGGGTTGTCGTCTGGCTTCCGAGCCCAGCAACATATCAACCCTTCACACGTGCTGGGGACAACGGACTATCCCAACACCAACAACTCCCATTCGGGAATGTTCTCCTTTGGCGGAGAATCGGATAATGAGGACGATGCACAAACTTTCTCCGAGCACGGCGGGTTGGCCATGCCGGCTGACTCGATGGACGAGCAAGATGAAGATGACGATGGAGACTCGGTCATGAACTGGGAAGCGCAGATCCCAGACTCCTTCCAGTCGCTGCCCGGGTTTGGTCAGCACCGCAGGCACGTCACGATCGGATCGCCCGACATGATGGACGCGAACGATTGGAACAGTCTGAATCGCACACATGGATCGGTGGCGTCGGTCAGTGAAGTGCGTAACCGTGAGCAGGATCCTCGACGTCAGAAGATTGCCCGCACGGCATCGACTCCCAACGCTACCCAACTACTACGCCAGAGTATGCAGAACAACAATACGCAGCAACCCTCTCCCAACACGCCGCCCGAGTCGGGTCTCAACAGTGCTGCCCCATCGCGACCGGCAAGTCCGAAGAATGGCGAGCAGGGCAGCACTGGCCCTACCACTTGTACCAACTGCTTTACTCAGACGACTCCTTTGTGGCGGCGTAACCCAGAGGGCCAGCCTCTCTGCAATGCCTGTGGTTTGTTCCTGAAGCTGCACGGTGTCGTCCGACCGTTGTCACTCAAGACGGACGTTATCAAAAAGCGCAACCGCAGCAGCGCCAACACTCTGGCGGTGGGCACCTCGCGTTCAAAGAAGTCTTCGCGCAAAAATTCGGTGCAGCAGGCATCTGTAGCAGCAGCCACCGCGAGTCGTCCGCAGACAGCCACGACCAATTCGGAGTCCCCCCCTGCCATCCAGGGAAGCAGCACCCCTGCAAGTCGGAGTACCAATTCGATGGCCAAATCTGGTGTTGTGCCCATTGCGGCTGCACCACCCAAGTTAGCCTCGGCCTCGAACTCGGGATCAGGAATTGGACAAGCACGAAGCGCCGTACAAGTGGCACCGAAGCGTCAACGACGGCTGGAAAAGGCCACTGACGTGGAGGCCACAGAAGACAAGTCCGCTGCCGCCAATCGCTCCAAGGTGGTACCATTGGCCCCTGCCATGCCACCTGCAGCGGCCAATCCGGCGAACCACAGCATTGCCGGTGGACAGGGAGCGAGTCAAGAATGGGAGTGGTTGACCATGAGTTTGTAAGCAGAGATGCTGCATCTCTTTCCTTATTCGTTTTCTCCGTTTTCTTTCATTCTTCATACCAGTCACGATAGACACGACCTATGCCGATTCTGGGACGGAGTTTTGACAATTTGAGCACGGTGTTGGGTGCACAACTGCGCCGCTACGATTCGAATAAAAAAGAAAACGGGTCAGATTTCCTATGATTAAAATGTTATAGTTTATGGAATAGCGATCAGTCGGGCAGCCACCTGATCCAGGATGTGTGCATTTCTGGTGGTTAATGATATACGGTCAGGCTGTTAGAACGGTTGTTAGGTGTTTTGCGTTTGAGCTTGTGTGGTTCTGTGGTTCTGCCTTTTTTTTTTTTTTTTTTTTTTTTTGTTTCTGTGTTTTGATTGATACAATCGCGTCTGTCCGGCCAGCCTTGTTTCTTTTCTTTTCTTTCGTTTTGGTCTTCATGTGTTTATGTGTTATGTGTTATGTTAAAAGGCAACGGCCGGGCAGAAGTGCGCATGTCTATTTGATTTATTCGGGTTCTTTTATTGATGTTCCATGGATGCCTTATCTATGTTTATGAATGCATTAATCAGTTACTTCCTTTTGGATCGTAGTTACGCTGGTTGACGGGAGAATGACCTAACCGGAGTAGGGTTCCGTAGTGTCCTCTACTTATTCTTTCTTTCTTCGAGTAACAATAAACTTCACAATACTTAGAAATCTACTACGGTCAACGATACAACGACACTATGCCTGGAATGATGGTAAGTCACTCGTTTTCAACAGAGCCACGACTAATATCAATATGACAGGGCGACAACCAATCCCCGGAGGGTACAACACCCCTACCAACTATTCTCTGCTCTCTCTAACAAAAAGTAGAAGCCTCTGACCCCATAACCCCAACCATGCAGCCTGAAAGTATGGCCTCCAAAGCACGCCAATCCGCCAGCAGCGTTGCAGAGCGTATCGCCGCGCCCTTGCAGCCGGGTACTCCCCCCCTTTCCAGTAATCAGAACACGAAAAGAGATGCTGACAAAACAGGCGATACAACGCCCACCACCCGCCGTATGTCTGATACACCCTCTACCAGCCGTGTCCATGGCAAGGGCAGCGGCGTGGACGTCGGCGAGGGCTGGAGCGACGTGCAGGCGCAGAAACAAGAGGATAAAGGCATGATGCAGTCTGCGCAGGAGATGGTTGCGAAGGCGTTGGGGGGTGGTTCGCGGGGTTTGTTTCCTTTCTCTAGAAACCAGGGTTGGTTGTGATAACTAACGTGATGTGTCTGCCAGGATCTAGCTAGTTAGTGCTAGGTAGCAATATGACATCCCCGGGAATAAGTATAATCCATGGCACTGAGTAGACCGGCGATATGCGAGACGATGGCAAGTGTAACAAAGATATGCCATGTAGTGTGTGAGTGGCCCCAGTGTCGAATTTGCCGGGGTATGAGGATTCGGGAAATCTTGTCTGCAGCCAGCACCGTGAGTATTAGATGCTGAACGGGGTCGGTGGTTAAGACACACCTCCCAAAACCAACACCCTATAAACAGCAGCAATCCCTCGAGAAGGTAATAAGGAACCCCGATATTCCAGAGATACACTGGTCCCCAAAGAACCCACGCATGAGCAATCGGCGCAAAAGCAGATAACCCCGTACCAATGAAACCACCCAACCTCACGCGACGCCATTCCGGCCCACTGAATCTCGGATTCAACAGAAACACAGCATTCATCGAGGAAAGCACCACGATCTACCCAGTCAGTCACACTCATTCATATCCAGGGTATAGGAGGCATGCATACCACTCCCCAATAAAACCACTTAACCCCCGGGCAACAATAAAACCCAAAATGCAACCCACTCCCAAAACATCCCACCATACACCCCATAATCCCCGCATAATCACACCCCAGCAGTCTCCCCGCCACGCCCTCCGAATGATTGAGCCCCGTGTGGTACACCGCCGAGACAAGCAGGCAGATAGCCCCCGAGAGCAGCTGCACGGAGACAACGGTCCAATCAAACTGCGTGAGATCTACGTGTCTGCTGTGGAGGTGCTCGTATAACCACCCAAGACCGACGAAGAGTATCACGGCAGGAATCAGGTGCGAGAAGATATTTGTTGTCTCGTTGTGGAGATATGTCCAGCTGAGGAGGGAGTGCAGCCAGGAGTTGGTGAGGGGGCGGTAGGAGCTGTAGATGTAGGGGTTTGGGTCGTACCAGGGGGGAAGTTCTGTTATGTTTAGTAGGGTTGGTTTCGCTTGTTGCTTGGACTGCTGCTTTGGTTGTTGCTTTGGTTGTTGCTTTGGTTGTTGCTTTTGTAGTTGATCTGGTTGGTCTGAAGGACTGACAGGGACTCGGAAACGCAGGAAAGTGTCGAATATCATTCTGATGTATGCGCTCTGCTGTTGCACGAGTACAGTGCTGTAGAGGTACTCCGTAGAGCCCTTCGGTAGGTTTGATCGATTTGGATCGTGGTCCGAAAACAAGATACTATTGGGCTGTCATAAGCTTAACCCAACTGTATATAATAATAAGTAGTAATAGAGGAATGCCTAAAGATGCATATGCTGATTCTGAAGAATATGTCGTCTCCTGAATTGTAGTCTGTGTCTATACTAGTCTCATCCCAATCAGGAAAGCGCGTCACGTGAATCACGTGAATTTAAAATTCCTCTCTACAACAAAGTAGACGCAGCCAACGAACGACCAACAACCAACGCAAAAATGGGATCCAGCAGTAAAAAGAGAAAGGAGAAGCAAAAAGACTTCCAGGTACGTCTCTCAATCATATAGATTAAACAGAAACTAACAGGCGCAGAAACCGAAACTCAAAGTCGGCAAGGCAAAGCCCAAGCCAGACAACTTCACAGACACGAGCTTTCAATCAAAATGTAAGCCTATCACCTCGGCTTCATCAATGTAAAGCCTCTAACGAAGCGAAGCAATCACCCTAAACCAACAATCTCTCCGCCTCTCCGCCCCCTCCAGCAACACCCAATTCACCCATCACCTCTCCTTACTAACCTCCAAATCCGACACCCAACGCCGCGAGTCCCTCTCGCACTTAACCACCGCCATCACCTCGCGGCCAGTGGACTCTCCTATCCCGCAACCAGTAAGCGTGATTCTCCCAAACCTCCTCCCCCTAATCCTAGACGCAAGCACCAGCGTGCGCACGCAGCTGCTCAAGCTCCTCCGCGCGTTGCCAGCAAGGGATATCGAAGACCATGTCTCGCAGATGATGCCGTACATTCGTGCGGGAATGACGCACTTAGCGGTTGACATCCGCGTGTCTGCGGTAGAGGTATTGGCGTGGCTTGTCGAGGTTGCGGGGGATGAGGTAGTGTCCTGCGCCGGGGGGTGGATTAAGACGCTGAATTGCTTCCTTTCTGTGCTGGGATGGCATACGGAGGAGTCGGCAAAGTGGTCTGCCAATCGTGCATCGTTTGGGAAAGCGGGGAATCAGGGGAAGGCCATGATCAAGGTGTTAGGGGCGTTTGGGGGATTTTTGGATGCGGGGTTAAGCGATGTTGACAGAGATGTGGATGTGGACGAGGGTGTTGATGTTTCGTCGGAGGGCGGCGAGAGCTGGGCCTTCCCGCTCTGTCAGACGGAGCAGCATATGATCCCCAGTGCGTCGGTGCCGTATGCATATCTGAATTTGTTTGGGCAGCCGCGCGACGAAGAAGGGGAGATGTATGAGACACGGGAGGACCGGTACCGCGTGTTTGCGAATCGGTTTATGCCCGCTGTGCAGCGGGGGTTGGAGAATGCACGGCAAGAAGGTGGTGAGATTGGTCGCGCGTCGTCGGGTGCAAGCAAAGCGTTGAAAGAGGCCGTTGCCAGTGTTTGATTGTACATTTACGGACATAATACCCTGCATTATACTTTAAACTCTTTATACTCGTCCCTTTCAACCTCCTCAATGCCCAGCCCCGTCAAAACCCTACCTTCATAAATCTCATCCGCAAAAACAGCCCTCTGCACAACCGTCTCCCTCGCCGGAAACCACCAAGACAAACCAACATACACACCACTCGCGCCTACAAAGCCCAGAAACCACCCAAACTGATATGGATGAATCCCCACTCCAACCTTCACATCACTGTTAACAGAATGAATCAACCCCGGTAAACTCGGCACCACACCCGCCAGAAACGCAGCGATGGCTCTCCAGTTCACCCCCCAAACACTAACCTCCTTTCCAGCTATCACGCGCGCGAACGAATATCGATATATCTGATTAAATGGCTGATACAGCGCGAGCGTATCGTACTTCCGATGCTTAACGACCCAGTAATCGCATAACATAATGGCGGCCACCGGTGCGAGAAAGATAGCATACGCAGACATGAAGTTAAGGAAACTCTCCGCGGACGCGAGGATCTTCCACGGCACGAGACACCAGCTCAGCAGCGCGCAGAGTAGCTGTCCGCGACGGATGTTGAAGTATCGTGGTGCCAGCGCGGCGAGGTCATTTGCTGCTGAGATCGAGTTTGCTGAGATGTTCACGCCCAGTGAGGCGAGGACGAAACTCGCAGCTGCGAAGAACCGACAAGCCCGGCTTGTCCAGTTGCTTATCAGAACTGTCGGATCCCAGGGAATCTCACCAGTGCCACCATAATACCGCACCTGTCCAGCAGACGACGCCGCAATGCCAATGAACGAGATAAACGTAAACACAATCGGCAACATAGGCACATACAACAACTGCCACTTCGCCGAAACTCGCGAGTACCGCGAGAAGTCCGACTGGTTGACACTGGTCGTTGCATAATTTCCGAGAATCGAGGTCATATTCGCCAGGAACAACCAACTATACGTCGATCCTGAGATTGTAGTCGACGACAAACTTGACTTCTCCTGGAACATGCTCCCACCCCCTTCAGCGACAAACGCCCAGATGAGTATGGCAACCCATGCAATTGGCACAAACACCGACTTGACCACGAACAACCACCTCACCTTCTCCGGTCGCACACACAGCAACGGCAACTGCACAATCCAATATATTGTATAGCCCACCATACCCTGCGTGGTAATCCCCTGCCCCTCCGGAATCCCATTCCCAATGTTCAAAAAACTAGGCCAAATCGCCCCAATCATAACCCTCACCGCATTGCCACCGTTCACATTATGAATCGCGAACCAAACCACTGCCAACACCAATCGGGATAGAATAGCAATATACGAGCCGTAGAACCCCCAGCTCGCGCGCGCGATCACGGGAAACGGCACATGGTAGATAGCACCGACGGCGCCGTTCGCAGCGATGACGATGGAGATGATGAAGAAGGCAATTGCGACGATGATGAGGGCGTCTTTGTAGCTGAGGCCCACGGCGAGGATGCTGCTAGCGAATTGCCAGGTGCTGACGTTGAAGGCGTCGGAGATCCAGTATGCTTTCCTTCATTCTTAGTATTTAGGGGTATTGTAAGGGCCATGGGGGCGCACCGATGAAGCTTATGCTACCCCAGTTGCGTTGGTGTTTGGGGACTGGGTCTAAGTCTAGGTTGGTCCATCGCGCATTTCCTGCTGCAAAGGTGGATTCGGGGCGGGTTACTTGCAATCGAGGGCGTTTTATCTTCATTGTGAATATATGTACATATACAGGGTCAGTTGAATTCAAGAGTGAAAGAAAACAATCATGATGCAAGGAGGATTGCGACAACGTAGCATCGACCGAACTCTTATAAATCCCCGAGTTCAGCTGAAGATAAGCTACTTGGACATAGTAGATAAACAACCACCACTGAGAGCCACAAGTTAAACCACAGCGATAAGATAATGCATTCATGTCTCATAAGTACCTTTCATGCGCAAATTACTGCTTCTCCCCCGGCAATCTCACATCCTCCCAACCCCTACCATCGCCAACACCCTCCACACTTCCCTCCCTCCGAACACCTGCCCACTCATTCACATCCATCCATCCAATCTGCTGCACATCCCCAAATCCCCCAATCCAGTAAACATCTGTTACCACCAATCTCGCCCAGAAACTCGCGTGCGGCGAGCCCCGTTTATGCGGCAACCACACCTCCGCATCGGGATGCGCGCGCAAGTAACACTTTTCTAACGCACTTTCGACATCCTCAGGAATCGGCTCGGGGAATGGCTCGACGTATCCGAATAACGTGACGCGGGGGAGCCCGGCAGGACTTAGCGGAAAACCGGGGTAGATCGGTTCGGTGTCGTTGAGGTGGTCCCACCAGTCGAGGGAGAGGGAGATGTTCGATCCGGCGGCAGTGTTGCGGAAGGTTGTTGCGACCTTGAGGGCGAGGAGAGTCGGGTTGCCATCTCCGTTGTTGGCGTACTCGTAGGAGGAGGGGAGAGCTTCGTCGCAGTCGGCAAAGTATTCGCGGAGGCCAATCGAGTGACCTGCAACGGACGGCGGGGTGTGGCCGGGAGGTAAGGAGCCGGGGAAGACCGTTGAGGCGACGCCGCTGGTTGAGAGAGCGAGGAGGCGACGAGCCATAAGAATAGAAGTGAACCAAGACGGGCGGTTCATTGGCTCGATCTCACTACCGGAAGAGCTGTGGTCGACGTAAATCGCATCCTGGTGGGGGTTGGTCGCAGGAGCAGACGCTCTCTGAGCATCACTCAAAAACGCCTGTTCCACGAGTGCATTGTCAGGCAGCACCAGGGGAGTAGCAAAGACAGCAAAGAGCTGGCTGCTCAGCAGCAGAAGGGATTTCATTCTGTAGTATTCAGATGAGGAAAGCTTGATTCGATTCCTTAGAATGAGGACTGATATAGCTAAAGTACAGTACGTGAGGAGGTGGAGATCTTATCAGATGACACTAGGCCGGAAAAAGACAAACCGAGGGTCACGTCATGTACACGCTTTAAAATTGTTCCGGTGACTCTGGCAACCCCGGTCCGCTCCACCGGATTCCGGTATTCCCCGAAGGGTGACACCTCAGGCATACAGCCCTGCATATACTGACTCACCGGAGATATTGTGGCAATATCGTCTGACCAGCAGAAATTCTCAAAAGTTGCAGGTGCCGCTGCGGTGTGACTCACAGAATGCCCACAAACAGGACACTGACCCTTGGGCGAGAGGTCAGAGCTACACTACGGCTATTGGCTACGGCTAAAGTCCGTCGGTGGTCGTCCAGTGTGAGTAGGATGTTTCCTAAGTCATATCAGTTTGCCAGTAAGACATAGATGGAAATTGAAAATCAGAAATCACTTATTGAACAAAGATTTAAAAAAAAACACCAAGCCATCCGTTCCAGCCTCACTCCGTTTCGCAACAAAATCCGAAAACAACAAGACAAAGAAAATAAACAGGACAGACCGCGAATGCGCAGGACGACAAAATACCACCCTGGCGTACATGATACACGAAGGGACCCGGGTCACAACGCCAGATCCACTTCCATTTTCAACAGTAGGGTATATACACATGCAACAAAGAAGAAACCACAGCACAAGGGGGGGAGGTCATCCCCCCAATCGACTTTTGGTCGACAGCCCAAGACATATAGACATGCCAGGCAACTCTCTCGGTCGACGAGGAGCAAAGGAGTGTAAGACTGTAAACAAGCGAAACTTTTCCCTTTCTAGACAGAATCCACCAATGGGAAGGAAAGAAAGAAAAATATTTTTCTTTTTTTTTTAAAAAAAAAAAAAGAAACCATTCAGTAAAGGCTCCTTGTTATTCCAAGTAGTACGTGCGTACACTCGGATTCAGAGCAATCTTCTGTGCTTCACTGCCGCAACATGCACGCTTCATGCCTGCGGGGCCAGAAAGTGCACTCATCTGGAGCGAGTTCAGCGGCTGGTTCGACTCGGGAATCACAAACGACCGGGCGGAAGTACCCTCCGGCCAGCTACCGTCACCGTTGTCCAAGTTAATCAGGTGTCGGACCTGGTTCTGCAGAAGCTGGTCTTCCGATCCCGTGCGGCCACGCTTCCGGCCGGCCGTTGGAGGTTGCGGTCGAGGAACAGCGCCAGACAACTCACACAAACTCCGGGCAGCCTCCTGATCGACCGGGGTACCCAGGGAGAAATGAGAAAAGTCTGGAACTTGGCCGACAGATGTAGTACACCCTTCGGGAGAGCTGTAGATCCCACCGGATTCATCAATAGGAGAGACGATAGTCACCATCTGCTTGCGGCTCTCCCGCATGGAGTGGTTGAGTGTCGCCTTGACTGCCAAACGCGTCTGCTGAGAAGGTTGAGCAGCAGGGCCCGATGCATTAGAAGAGACCGACGAAGACCGGGACGAGCGGGCAGATGATAGCGTGGAAGTGTCCGAAACCATCGACTCCGGAGACGACGCAGATGAGGTCGAGCGAGCCAGGGATGATCGACGGACCGCCGCCGGGTATCCATCAAATGAGTTCGCCTTACCAAAGCTCAGAGGGGGGCGCTGGTCAATAGTTGACCGCGCCATACCCATGTTCTGAGCCTGCGACACGGCAGCACAGATGGATGGCCGGCGGGGACCAAACGAGGTAGCACTCGCAGCAGGAGTGGATGCCAGGCTCGACTGAGGCGTCATCTGCGGCGTCGGGAGCATCTGAGGCCGGTGAATGGAAGGAGGATACTCCATCCGCGGCATCGGCTCCAACGGCATGGGAGCATTTCGTCGCAAAGATGGGACCTGCTCGTGAATAGACGGCAGACTGGTGTTAGCAGCCGGCTCGTAGACAGCGGGCATGCTGCGCGGAGACGGTGAGTTGGCGACAGACGACTCCCCGCTGGATGGCGGGGTGATCGGCTCAAACTCAATCACATCCAACTCGGGAGTGAGCCGGGGAATGACGGTTCGCCAACAGTGACCGTTCCCAAGAGCAGCTCCGGCTCCGGGGGTGTACTTCAGAACGACATCCGTCCAGCGCTGAAAGGTTGCTTCGGAGATGTGAAGTCTCCAGCCAACCGCTTCAAGGAACATCAGCTCATTCTGGTTAATCTCCAGCGTATTAAGACCCGAGATCTTGCTCCAAGCACGGGCCGAATAGTTGCGATCCTGCAGGTATTTGGAAGCGAGAATCAAAGCCGCAAGGAACATGCGACGACCGCACTGCATGGCCCGGCAGACAGGCTTGTCGCGCGACTGCTCTGTCTGGCTGGGCACATGCGGCTTGATCTTGATCAAATAGTAGAGCGCCACTTGCAGCGTGCTGTAGCTAGTCCGAGATCGACGCAGAGTCTCTTGGATAAAGGTGCGAAGAGGCAAGACGCCCTTGCAACCGGTCGATGAGTCACTACGGAGTGATACTGCGGACAAGGGCCAGATGATCTCAACGATCTGCGATGCGGTGTCTGGGTGGCATGATTTAGCTGACTAGTTATAGGGGAAAAGTTACCGATCATCGTCACTCACCGACGAGGTTGTCGACAAAGTTCACTTTGCGCTCCGACTGTCGCATCAGACAGGGTGGGGGCCGCGCGCAGGGAACGCCGTTGGACTGCGGCACATATGTGCTGGTACGCCGGGGATTTTTGCGCAACTCCGGGGGTACGGCAGCATCAGGTTTGGGAGGGACCGGTCCACGCAGACTCGGCAGCGAGCCCCTTGCAGGCAGAGATTGTTCGCCCTCATGTTCCCAAGCCACATCAACGGGGTTTGTAGAGGTCGAGGAGATGGAACTCTGGGCCGAATTGCCATCTAGGGAGAAGACGGAAGAGGAAGAAGAGGAAGCGGAGGAAGAGACGGACGATGCGTAGGGGGGCGCATAAGCTTTGTAAGAATAAGCAGGGTTTGAAGAACTCAAACCCAAGACGTCCATCCTTGTCATATCCAGGAAGAGATTTTCTGTCGTGTAACGTAAAAGAAGTATTCTCGATTCAATCAAAGAATGACCACCCAGCGAGAACGCCTTGCGCCCGACGGTATCAAAATTCTTGGATATAGCAAGAAAGAGGCAGGATGATAAGGATTAAACCGTGTAGTCAATAAACCGATGGGCAAAAAACCGTAAACGAGAAGCCGAAGAGACCGATGCCGTCTTATTATGATTGGTAGGCGACGGCCAGCCTTTAGAGGAGCAACTTCGCCAGGGTGTCGGTGACGAAGAGAGACGTGTTGGATTAGATTATGAGCGGTCAGAGGTGATAGGATGTGTAAAAACGAGCAGAGTAAAGCAGCAAGCAGCAACGCAAGTAAGCACGATACGCAGTGACCGGTGAATCACAAGAATAAAATTATTCACCGTCCACGGTTCCGATGACCGTAGAGAAACCCGAGTAGATCACGAACGAGTCAAGACCAAGCAGATATGAAAGTGGAAGCAGCAGAGAGGTTTAGACGAGCTTGTTGTCGACGGAGGTCTTTCGGAGATCTGAGGCCAAGGATTCTGCGGAACGGACGATCGGAACGATAGGGTAGGAATCAACAATGTACATTTTGTAACTTTCGAGAAGGCGGAAGGATCGAAGTAGTTATATAGGGGCCAGACTGGCGAAGCAGGCAGGCAGAGAACTGCGATGCTATGCTAGACCAGGGGGAGACGCTCGGATGGGGGCGGAGGATAGGGAAGGCAGAAGAGAAGATAGACTAGGCTGCGGTGGACATAGAGTCAGCGGTGGTCATGATGGAGGATGAGTGAAAAGAGAAGATGAGTACAGAACACAGGAGTAGAGTAAGATATAAAAGGATAGGTATGACTCCTAGCGGACCCGAGCGAACCGCTGCCTGGAGAGGGCAGTACAGGTGACTAACAGGGGAGAGGCGACCCAGTAGTGCCCGTCCAGTAGAGCAGTAGTCACGAAAGCCGTGGAACAGACAAGAGATATTGACTGATCAAGGGATCGCAGATGGCAATAGAAGAAAAATTGAAGACTCACTGTTCCTGTGGCAAGTCGGGGAGTGGCAAGAGGCGAACCAAACGAATAAGACACAATATTAACTAACCAGCCAACCAGATAGATAGAATAAAACAGACAAAGATAAACAGATACAAATAACTGGGAAGAAAGAGAAAGAAGACAAGGAACCCCCCGTGTCTTTACTAGAGAAGAGAAAAGGAAACGAAAAGGATAGAAGGAAAGAGGGCAGAGAGACAGGAAAAGACCGATCGGAGAGTCTGCAGACGGAAGCGTGCAGGGATTCCGAGTTTCTACACCACCAACAAGTACCGCTGTATAATTACTACATTATTACTCTGCACCACACTATTATTCATTGTTATTTCTCTCTATTTTGTACAAGTACTCTCGATGCAGTGGTACTTTGACAAATTCCTGCCAGCCACCTTGACTCACTCGTATCCACCGTGGCCTGACTTGCATCTGTCACCCCTCTACAGAGTACAGAGTATTCTCCTCTACGGAGTACTACTCCGTACTCTGTGCTCTGTGCTCTGTACTATCTAAACACATATTCGTCTCTTCTCTATAATACTCTCCCTACGACTACGACTACGACTACACTGTAGATACATGTGCATAGCCTCCGCTACCAACTCAAAAGCGTACACTACCCCGAACCAATCATGGTCTGCCTAATGCAGCGCCGTGACACTCTCCTTCTGCGTTGGGGATAGTGTCCTCCACCAGACGCAGCCACTCAACGCACTAATCTTAGAAATGGCGTCATGTACAGAACACGAAGGACAAGTAGAGTCGCTGCAAAGCAATGCGAGCTAATCCATTCCAGCTCGTTGCAGCTGGCGTACTACTGTATTATCCGTGGCTGTCAGAAGTACGGAGTACTATTCTATCTCGGAGTCTTCCTCCGATCAACGCTATCGGGCGGGAATGGAATACCTCTCAACCTACCCTAACCAGTGCTCTGCTGTTGTCACAACCCAACCACCGCCGATACCCAATCCAACCTGCCAGCGGTGACGCCCTCCCAGATGCGGTCATGCCCATTTGGAATACCCTGCAGCCGTTCCTGTTGTTCCTCGTAGGCACCGATCTCCACCATGCCACGGTGCCCTGACATTCAAATGCTCTGCGTCAGTTCGTCATTGGTCGCTGCCAGCTTGAGCTTAAGCGCGCCTAGGTCCAACGTGTCTGTCGCTTGCCATGGTCATCCGATCTGAGGTAAGTGGGCCGGACACTTTGTTCTATGGGTTACAACTCAGGTCGTAGACCGCTTGGTAAGGCGTGTATCGCAGGGCGTTAAGGGCCGGTCGATGCGGTTAGAGCGCAACACTATAACCGTGATCACCTCATTCAGAATCTTCCAGCATACTTCGACGCATGAAGCCAAGCCATCGCTCTCGTGTTCGAGTGTCCCTCGCAGACAAGCTGTTGGGTCAGCTGCCACCGGTTGACCGTCAAGTTCAGACATCGTGTGATCTCTCTGGCGGCTTCGTGGTCTGATTGAGAATAGATCAGTTCATCGCTTATTGATCAGGGCCTAGAGGTTGTGAATGGCTGTCTCGTTGACCGATACAAGTCTAAACATACCGTCAGCATGGCCAGGATATATTTGTATTTGTGCGTTGATTATCTGCATTAGGCAATCACCTCGTATCATCGAATCACGGTACACTCTGTAGTTGGAATGGACATTGTTGACTAGTCTGAGCGCATACTTCAGGCACTCACAACATCAACTGAACGGTCAAAGAACTACTAGTGAGTCCAGGAATGCACCTCAGCAAAGCCACCGCTGCTGAATTTATACTTGCTTGGTTATGCCAGGGTATGTGTCTGGTTTGAGGGATATACGCGTTGAAGTACCACAATGTTGTTATGCGGGTGCCGATGTGTATCATGAGGGGCAACGCACGAACCTCACCAGGAATAACATTAGATATATAACATTGCCAAGTATTTACAATAAGAAATGCATCACCGGGTATATCCACCATCCATCCATCCGCAAAGAAACCACCGTGAGACATCATCTAGCTCTCCCCCCAGCCATATGCGCCGCATCATGCACCACACAAAGCAAATACTTCCTATCCGGCACGACCACAATCTCATGCTTCTTCGTGCGCAGCCGCAGTAGCTTCACCTCATCATCTTCCTCCTTCTCCTGTCCTTCGTCACCTTCTTCGCGGGGCGAAGTGATTCCGTTTTTCAGCGCTTCAAGATTCAATCCATTGCTGCTGGGTTTCGAGTCATTATCGTCCGGCGGATGAGAAAGCGACATGCTCAGGTCGGATGCGCTAGAGACAAAGGCGAAGATGTGCGCTGCCAGTGCTTCGGCGTGGGTTGGTTTGTATGCTTGTTTTTGTTCCTGTTCCTGTCCTTGCTGCTCCTCTTGGTGTCCTTCCTGTCCTTCCTGTTGCTCTTGCCCTTCCTGAGACTGTCCCTCCGGTTGTTCTTGTTCCTCCGGCTTCTGCTGCTGCTGCTCCTGCTGCTCGACGGAGGGCGATCTCGGAGTAGAATTAGATGTAGGCGCGTCCTCATTCAACGGCGATGTCGCCTGCTGACGCAACGCCATATTCTGACTATTCCTCCTTTCCAACTCCGCAGATAGTAATCCGGTACTTTGGATGATTGAACCGTCTTTACGGGAGAGGATAAAGGTCGATTGGACGCCGGGGCGCGAGGTGAGGTGGGAGAGGAGAGCAGTTACATGTTGGGGGATCTGTTTTCATCCATTTTAGCTTCTTATTTCTGTGGACAACTGTAGAGCGAATCACCACTGTTTGTTGTGCCATTCTGGCGGGGAGGTAAACCGGTCGAACACGCTGGCAGGATAAGAAGCAACCAGTAATTCGAAAATTCTCGCTCAAATCTCAGTGTTCCAGCTTTCAAGCAGCTCCAGGCCGCTTTGTCTGCAAAATGAATAGAAGATATCTCGCAATGGACTGAATCGCTGTTGTTTTGGAGCGGCGGCCCAATTCACCTCGCTTTTGATGACTAAGCAATAGAACGAGACAAAGATGCAAGGTCACTTTACTTTAATTTACTTTCCAGACAACAATATGGACTTTTTTGCTCTCTGATCAAGAAAAATTCAGATAGATTGCGCAACTAACAAAATTGGTATCATGGGCATGAGTGATAAAACGACAGAACCCAACGCTGACAGATAATGAACGCGATTAATTATACATGAAACCCACCATAGATATACAAATGAAAGAGAAGGAAAGACAAAGAGCGTCAGAGCCAACTATTATGGCACTCTGAGTGAATCGTCTACACTCGACTTATCCGACAACCATCCAAAATCCATATCCTCACCAGCGGAATTGATGCTACTGCGTCTGCTACTGGTATCCAGCCAAGTCTCCCTTCGCCTCGACTTTTCCGTTCGCTCATCATAGCTCGACGGCGGCGTTGTCTTGGACGACGAAACTGACGGTGCGGATAGCAAGGATGCGACTGTTCCGCTGATGAGACTCTCAGCGCTACCCTTATTACCGACGTCCAGGGCTGCGAGGAGGGCGGCTTGGAGGACCTTATTCTGTCGTTCGAGCTGTGCAATGCGCCCTTCGAGGATGCTTATGACGCTCGAGTCATGAGAGTGACATGTGTACTGGGAGTCCTGGGACAGGGGCGACGACCTGCCAAAGCTGCGGCTGCTGCAGTTCTGCGGCGACGTGGACTCACGTTGTGCAGGCTTCTCAATGCGAGGAACCTGCTGTGTTGACCCAGCGGGGTCGACTGGTTTTTGCTGTTTCGCTCGTCGGCGCTTCTTCTGTGCTTGGCTTGGCCAGGGGTTGCGAGCGATACCTTCTTCATCTGAAGAGGGGATGGGGTATTCGGAGCGGAGGTCGTGCTGCTCAAAGCTCGTCCTTTCGTTCCGAATCGGCTCCTGGTAGCTGTTGCTTCGCTGTATCTGACTCGCGCGAAACGCAGGCGCCAATGCTGGCTCGCTATACTTCAACTTCGGGCTCGTAGGTGCAGCCCTGCCACTGGAGCGTGTGGTAGAATCCGGTGGTGGAGTAGGCAAAGGACCTGTTACAGCATCCCTATGAACCCACTGGGTGACCTCCATGCTGCGCCTGACATTCTGCTTTGCATGGCCCCTCGGTTCCTCCGGACGAGCGACGTCCAACGATCGCGACCTCTTTTCGGCTCCCCTCGAAGCAGCCACGTCAAGATGCTGCGCCATTTCCTTCACCCTACGTGCAGGGACTCCCGCACGGTTCCGCTCCTGAGCCGGATCAGGTGTTGCGCATTTCGCAGGTTGGTTTGGGGGATGGCGAGCAGTTTCTGTCAGATGGGGGTTCGAATCAGGGACAGGGCTGGACATATTCCGGATAGGACGCCCCTTTTCCTTGGGTGCCTTTGCATCAGTTGTGACACCCTCGGGCAACGAAGGCAAAGGTCTCGTGGGTGCAGGCAGAGGAAATGCGTTTATGGCATTCATAGGAAAAGCCGAGTAACGAGGCTGTCTGTCTTTGGGCTGTTCCGTCTCTGTTGCCTTCTCTCGCTCGATGCCGGTGAACTGACTGGTAGCTGCTGGAGCTGACCTGGGCTCTTTCGGATGATCCTTGGCGTGCTGTGCGGTGGGAGACGGTAATGCCGATTTCGAAGTCTCGTTCAATGTCGGGAGTTTCTGCTGTGCGCGCTGGGGGCCATTCGCCGGCGGAACCTTGGATAACCGCAATGCTGTTTTACTCGATAATCGCGGCGGGACGGGGTCAGGGAAGAGCTTAAGGGTGTTCTTCGAGGCGGGCTTGGGTTTCGAGTCGGTGTTTTCGGGTTTCTTTAGCTCAGTCGTGCTTGGCTCGGATGGGTTGGCAGGTTTGGACTCTTTGTTCGCATGGTTGGAAGGAGAAGCATTGTCTGCTGGCAAGACTTTAGCAGCCTGTTCGAGCAATCCATCCAGCGCCTGCTGTGCAGAATCCCGTCTCCCACTAGCGATAAAATCCGGCAGAGTCAACGGCTGAAACGGCAGTGCCTTCTTATCCTCCGTCCCCGACTCCTGAGCTACAGCACTATTCATAGAAAAATTCAGGTGACTCAAATCCAACGAAGTAACACGCCCCGACGACATGAGCGGATCACCCATGCATCTTTCAAGCGGATCAGCCAGCCACGGCTGCCCGATGCGCTCGACATCGCGCCGCGAACTCGACTTGCAGCTGGCATGTGAAACAGACTTTGAGTCTGACGGTGTGGAATCGACACTCTCCTTCTTGGAGTGTGACTTCTTGACGGCGGACGCAGGCAGGAGACCTTCTCGCTGCAGGGCGGAGAGCTGCGCTCTGTCCTCCTCGGCTTTGGTCTCGGGGTCGGGGGCATCTTTCTTCTGGCGCTGGGCCAATTGTCGAAGACGACGGTGTCCAGCTTTGAACATCTCGCGAGCACCAGTAGCGGTAGGTGGAGGAGAACCTGAAGAGAGTGAACCGGGTGGAGAAGAAGCAGTCTGAGTCTGAAGATGGTGAACCAAGTCCGCCACGCCCTGGTCTGTCTTAAGATGGCTGTGGTCTTCAGAACCACCCGAATATGGAAGTGGAAGGGGCTGTGTGCTGTTTGTAGAGAACGGAAGCTGTTGTTTGGGGGCAGACATTGTATAATAGAGATGTTTCTGGTGGTGATGTTTCGACAACAACAGCGGACCAGTAGGCACAATCGGGCTGGGCGCAGCTAAGCTCTCGTGCAAGTCGTTCCAATGCCGCATCGAGACGGGAGGTAGGAGCAAGGAGGACTCGAAACCGAGTCGGTCAGCGAGAGGCGAGAGGCAAAAAAGAGAGTTCAGTATTCAAACTGCGTCTCAAACGTCGTGGCGGTCAGAAGGCAATGGAGGAAAAGAGACAGAAGCCACGAGGCAATATTGTCGGAAATATTCGATGAATTCTGCAAACACTCGGGTTAATCAAGGTAGTACAGTCCATAGTGCGCTTGCTCCTGCTTACCAGCTGACTTGTTTACGCCGTTTGATAATACTCAGGAGAGCAGATTAGCAAAGTCAAACGACGAAAAGAAGAAAAAAAAAGAAAAAAGGACAGATCCAGCTGCAAAGGATCGATAGTCCCGATGTTTTATATGATCCTATACGACAGATTGGCACTATGGGCTTCTTTTTATCTCCCCGAATAAGAGAACAAAAAGCATGGCAGATCGCAAAGTCTAAGTCTGTTATTGAAAAGATTTATCGAATTAGTCAAGGTTCGTAGCGCCATTGAGCTATCATCTCGACTTCTTGTATACATGGTAAGATTAGAGTAACCTCGATCGGAATGAAGGAACGAACTGTGTATAGCCCTGGAATGCGATCTGGACCCAGGCACAGTCGCAGCATAGCTACAGATACGGAGAAATAGAGAGTAAGCAATAACCACCGATCATACACATGGAACACGTCCAAGGGGAGGAGGAAAGGGAAAACCCGGGGACGAGGACAGGGACAGCGCAACAAACAAAGGGGACGGTTCTTTGCATTCCCAGCCCAGCCTTGGTACAGCTGGTACAGATAAGAACCAAAGCGACTATTGAAGACTAACAGTCGATCATCTGTCAGTTCGAAAAGTACGAGAAGTAGCAGCTGAGAATGGATAGATCGATTTCTCCGCATCGGGTATTTACAGAGGTTCTAAGTACGGAGTAGGGCTACATCATTTTGTCAAGTACAAGTACATAGTAGGATTACGATGCCATGATTAGAATAAAACACAATTACTCCTGTAAGGGTGCAGCAGTAAAGTACAAGTATGAAGTGTCTTGCCACCCCTGTTGACCTCATAAAGGCACACTGTTCCCGGTATAACTACCCCTCCCACATGCCGCGACGATGCAAGGCAACAAGGAACAAGGAAACAGGCTAGCGAGGAATTACAGCTAATGTGACAGATGCACAAAGAAAAAACAAAAACCATGCCATATGCACAAAAGGCAGCGGTTTGTTTGTGATCGGCTGGAGTTGGACATGTCACAAAGGGTGCTTAGTGTGAGTTTGTTTTCTGCACAAAGAAACTTTGTATCGTCCAAGCGTCGAGTCTCAGATAGAACTGATCATCTGCTTCCTTACATCCATAAACCATGTCGTATGGTCAGTGCTGATATGTTTACGGTGTATGTCGTTCTCTGACTCTGGGTTGAGTGCTCATCTAACAACAATCCGATGCCATCAATATCTCCCGAGGAGTCCATTTCCCCGAGAAATATCCAAGTATGATACTTCCGAACGCCTCCCAATGCTTGTTTTCCTCGCTTCAAATAAACCAACATTACCAACTAATCACTAGTCCAGCTTTTGCACACAAAGGAAATACCAAAGCGTCTAGGTATGTAGAGCAGACACAAATGGGAGCAATGTACAGCGAATCAAAACAACGAACGAAATGAAATTATACTCGAGCAACCATGTCATCTCCGTTTCGGTCGGATAAATGGATCCGTTTCTTTCTTTTTGCGCATCATAGGCGGCGGTTTAACGCCCTGTGGTCTTTGTGGGGGTCGTGGAGGGAGCTAGAGAATCAATCAGTCAATGAAACCAAAGAGTAAAGCTGCAAAGAAACATACATTTGTTGGACCAGTAGGCGCCCGCTCGATTGGACCATACGCTGGGCCGTCCCGTGATGGCTTGACCAGGTCCTGTACGGAGTACGAGTTAGCATAATTCTATAAGCAAAATCCGATCAAAAAGCGTCAAGAAACTCACCCCCGTGTTCGTAGGAACGTTAGCATCAAGCCGATGCCTTGATCCCCTGGGCGCATGTGGCGGCGGTACAGCATCCTTTGACTTCCGCGGCCGTGCAGCTTTGTTATCTGACGTTGGTGACCCAGGACGCTTCCGTTTCTCCCCGCCCTTTTGATCATCATTTGAAGATGATTGGGACTTCATATTCTCCGACGGATCCCCCGTTTGGATAACCGGGACCTTGGGATCGTGCCCACCAAGCTGTTTTTGTCGCTGGCGCTGCGATTTCTGTTTCTGGATCTGCGCATGGTTATACTCTTCTCGCGAGATTCGTGTTCTCTCCTTCTTGGGCAGGGAGTTTGGAGATGGACATGCACTGGCAATGTGCCCGCATTTCCCGCATTCGGTGCAGCGTTCCACCGTGCAATCGTACCGTCGGTGTCCAGAGGCCTGGCATCGGTAGCACGTGCCCTGAGAAGCTTCCTTGGCATCGATATTGTCGCAGTTCGATGTCATATGCTCGAAGCTACTGCAGTAGCCACACATCCGGTTCTCGTCCAGTCCGTTCGCACCCCCTGACGGGCCCTCTGGCAACGGAGCTGGTGGGGTACCCTTGCCAGATGCAGAGACAGAATGCGACGGGGATTCAGAGGGAAGATTTCCTAGAGAGACAGACGACGGTCGTGACACGGATGCAGCTGAAGAAGGCCGCGAGGGTACCGGTGGATCTGGCGCGTCAATATCGACCATCTCGACATTCTTGTAGCCTGTGAATTGCGGCCGCGCGAGGAGCTTCAACACATCGCCGTTGGTGTAGACATTTCTCGATCGAGCGTTCGTAATGAGCTTATTCCAGAACTCGCCCTGGAGAAGAGATTGCGAATTACCCAGGACCCAAAGCGACGATTTGGCACGCGTCAAACCGACGTTCATACGTCGAATGTCGGACAAGAAACCAATACCCTTGTTTGAAGCGCGCACGCACGAGAAGATAATAACCTCGCTTTCTCGACCCTGGAAAGCGTCGGTTGTGTTGAAATCGACGACATTGAAAATATCATTACCATATTTAGCAGCAAACCGCGTCTTCATCTCCCTCAACTGGCCCTTATATGGCGTGATGATACCAATCTTCCCAGCAAAGTCAAAAGCCCGGAAATCCGTCACCAAACGCTCGTATAGTTGCATGGCCACTTGAAGCTCCGCAACGTTGATCAGCGAGTGGCCCTTTGCAGCACTTTGGTGAAGACCCTGGACATCGAAGAACCGGTACGGCGTGAGCAATTCACTTTGATGCCATGGCCGGGCACGTAATGGTCGCATGTTAGGTCCATCCTGAAGTTTCCCGTCGTAGAATGCAGAGCTGGGGAACGCACTGATTTCTGGATGCATACGATACTGCGTATCCAGCAAATGCACGTCCCGAGGATGATTGGCTTGCATTCTGACGAACAGACTCTGTTCGTACTGGAACCGAGAAGCAACTTTGGACAGAACAGTAGGTGGCAGCTGCTTGGGATCTCCGACAAGGATACACTTGGAGCAACCGTACTTGAGAGGAATGAGGGCACTTAATTCGATCGACTGCGCCGCTTCATCAATGACCACTGTTTCAAATTCGATGCTCAAATTCTGAAACATCTCATGACCACTACCACTGAGCGTAGCACAGATAACATGGGCGCCGTCGATGATATCCTGCTGGATGCGACGCCGCGTCAAATCCGCATCACGCGCAGCAGAATGATTCTTGTCTCTTGCGCTGTCAATCTCCTGACTCAATTGCGTCTTCTTTTTCTTAAGAAGATCAAACTCCCGCTCCAACTCAGCCGGAACAGGCAAGCCCTGTGCTCTACACTGGTCCATTCTGGTCCGCAATTCCTTAAATGACGTATCGGCAGCTTTGTGCTCCATGTATATCTTCTGCAGGTCTCTTTCCCCAGCGTCTTTGCGGCTGTTCTGGCCCAACCTTGCGTTGACCAGTTCGTCCAACGTCACATCGAGCACATTGGTATTAATGGCGTCACTTCTACCCAGACGAATCACGGAAAGCTTCTCGCTGCGTCCGTTGACCGTCTTAACACCTTCCTTGAAACGCATAACCAGTTCATCGACGGCAGCGTTACTGGGCGCGCACACGAGCAATTTCTTCGCCGTAGACGATCTCACCGGCGCCCGCGAATTGCCAATGGTGGTTGGTCGTGCGATCGTCGTTCCCTGATCACCGAGAACATTGGTTAAAAGTGCCCCCACAAGAGCCACAATGGTCTTGGTTTTTCCAGATCCCGGAGGACCCTGGATCAGAGTAAACGCATCATTATCAATGGCAGACTTGATCGCCTTTGCCTGCGCAGGGTTGAGATTGTAATTATCGGCGATTGGCTTGAGAGTCGTATCCGAGTACTTTAGGATAGGCGAAGGCTTTGCCCTCACAATTTCCTCACAGAGGTCGTAATATTGCAAGGCCATGAGCGCACCGTATTCACGCTCAAGCGGAGTCAAAGAAGTAATCTTAGCACCCCAAATAGCATTTCCCGGCGCGAGAGAATTAATGAACGGATTTCCAGGAACGACCCGATACGCAATCTCAACTGTGCCTTTCTTCTTGTTGATCCCAGAGACTCGAGCAAGACAGTGAGGGGCCGCAGAATCATTTGTCGGACTTATTGCTTTCGAGAGGAGAACTAAATCGGACTCGCCTAGACCAAAGTCCCTGAGCTCCATAGCAGGCATGGTAGTGCTGACTTCAACAAACGAGTCGACGGATAGACGTGTAGCGACCTTGACCTCGAACGGCTTAAAGGAACCGTCTTCCTTCGAAGACTGGAAGCCCTGCCATGCTTCAAGAACCAAAAGAGGCTCGAAAGTCCGTTGGTAGTCAATAGGATCTCTGAACGCATTCGAAACTAGCGTGTAATCAGTAGTCCCCGAGTTAGGTGGCAGGTCACCATTCGCAAAATAATCCCAAGAGAGAATCGTCCGATGCAAAGCTGACAAGTCCGGCGCGAGACGGGCACGCATATCCTTGGCCGACCGCACTTGCTTGACCTTCTTGATAGGTCCCTGCTGTTTGAGAGACAATCTCTTGCTCTCTTCATAAGCCTTGACAGCATCAGGCTTCGAACTAGCCTTAGCACCAAAAAGCTCCTTGTCGATTTCATCTTCGCTTTCCGACTCAGACTCCGAGCCAGAAGAGACCATCATGCTTTCAGCGGGAGCACTGTGATCTTTACCCTTGATACCAATTCCGCTCAATCCAGACCCTTGCTCAGCGGTCTGCTCTGCAACACCACGCGCAGG